CCCCCCAACCGCCACCGCCGTCTCCGTCGTCGTCGCGCAGGGATGGGTCGTCGGCGCGTACCTCGTCGGCGACGCGAAAGCGCCGACCGCGGTCGTCCTCGCCGCGGACGCCGCGGGCTGGCGCGCCCCCGGCGTCCGACGTTTCGCGCGCAAGCTGGCGCGCGACGGCGTCCTCGTCGCGACGCCCGATCTGTGGCGCGGAGACACGTGGCACGGCGACCCGTCGCCCTCGAAGCGCGGCGGCGCCGCGTTCGACCAGTGGGCGAAGGAGCACCCCGCGGAGCTCGCCGCGAAGGACATGGCGTCCGTGGTGACCGCGCTGCGCGAGCGCGGGGCGACGCGCGTCGCGTGCGTCGGCGTGGGTTGGGGCGCGGGCGCGGCGGCGGCGGCGTTGCTCTCGGGCCAACCCGGGGTCGACGGCGCGATCGACGCCGGCGCGATCGCGTGCCCGCTCGGGGTGAGCGTGAAGACGCTCGCGCGCGCGATGGGAGGGACCGCGCCGTGCGTGCTCGTGTGGGGCGGCGGCGACGCGATCGGCGCGGCGGCGAGACGCGCCGCGGAGGAGGAGGCGGGGGTGGAGGCGGCTGGAAAGTGGGGGTTTAAGGCGTTCGAGGACGCGGGCGGAGACTTCGTCTTCGCGGAGAGGGCGGAGGGGGAGGCGTGCGCGGCGGAGGACGACGCCGCGGCGCTAGTGATGGAGTGGGCCTTGAGCGGTGCTTCGTGAAGAAGCCGACGGCGGCGGCGGCGGCGGCGGCGGTTCGCGTCGGAGCCGCGAGCCGCGCGGCGCGTACGTCATCATATTTCTCCGCGATTTTTTATCACATCGCGACGACGACGACGACGACGACGACGACTACGCGATCACGATACGCTATACGCATCACTTCACTTTTTCCCCTTGTGGTCGCCGTCCGTGCCGCTCCGCGTCCATTCCCCGCGCGCCGCCGCGCTCGCGATCGCGAGCTCTTTCACGTACAGCTCTCCCATCGCTTCCAGCTGCAGCTCGCCCGTGCCCTTGCACAGCTGGAACAGCGGCATCTGAATCGCGGCGGACCAGGAGAACGACAAGTTCCACGGATCCCTCGGCCCTTTGTGCTTGTTGATCGCGTCGAGACGCGCGGCGGCGTCCTCTAACGACTGCCCGCCGCTCAGAAAGTTCGCGGTGACCATGGCGGTGGGGAAGCATCGGCGAAACACCTGAAGGTTCGCGACGGCGATCTCGTCCACGGTGTACGACGTCGCGCAGTCCTTCCCCGGGTTCACCATGTTCGATTTCAACACCGCGCCCTCCATGTACACGCCGTGGTCGAGCATCGCTTTGAACAGCTCGGACTGAATCTTCAAGTTGACCCGCACCGCGGTCTCGAGGTCGTGGTCGCCCTTCAGGCTCACGTCCGGCTCCACGATGGGCACGAGCCCCTCGGCTTGGCAGATCAACGCGTACCTCGCGAGGTCTCTCATGTTCGCCTCGATGATAACGTCCGAGGGCTGACCGTTCGCGACGTCGATCTCCATCGGCGACCGCCACTTCGCGAACTCGCACCCGGCGGCCTTGTACTCCGCACACCGCGCCGCGAGCGAGTCGAGGCCTTGCATGACCGTCGCGCCGCTCTGCCCCGGGAGCGCGTACACCTTCAGGTGCGGCTTCACCCCCGGGACGATCCCGCGGTCCATCAGCACCTTCGGGAAGAGATCCCCGCTGTCGCTGCTCTTCTGGTACAGAGTCTCCGGGTCTAAGATCGCCGCGCTGAGGTATTCGTTCGCGTCGCGCGCCTCGAACAAGACCTGGCGGTACGAACGGCGGTTCTCCTCGGTGTTCTCCACGCCCACCGCGGCCAGTCGGTCGCCGATCGTGCCCGGGCCCTCGTCGCACGCGGTGATGCCCTTCCCAGGCGTGCCGATCATCGCCGCGATCTTTTCCAGGTGCGCCTTCTCGTCCGCGCTGAGGTGCGCGCCGCCGTGGCACGCGCCGACGCCCGTGGTCGGGGGCGTCGCGCGCGCGGCGACCGCGCGTCTCGCGACGCGCGTCGGGGAGGCGCGCGCGCTCGCGCGCAACGCGGCGACGACGGAGCCGACGCGGCGCGCGCGCGGCGTCGCGACGACGCCGCGAGCGGTCGTCGCCGAGGCGAGGTGAGCGGACGCCATCATCGATCGATCGCGCGGGGACGGACGACGGGAGGACGAGGGACGATGGATATGGTTGGCGATGCCAAGTGGCGGACCGGATCGCATGCGCATCGTCAGCGAACGTGGCGTGTGCTCCTCGCCCTCCCTTTCGAATCCTGCATTTCATCGAGTCGAACACGAATTCCACCCTGGCGTCTCGATGAACGATCGGTTCGAAAGCGACTTCGTCGCTCAAATTTATCGGTCGAGATTTTTTAGGTTTTTGGGTGTTACATTTGTCGAAACTTCGTAGGCATGCTTGCATGCGCTCGTTTTCGACAATTATCTTCGCCCGTCGCGCGCCACTACACGTCGCGCGCGCACCGCGCACGACCGAATCCCAGTTTGACGTTGCCTCGCGCGATATCAACCTGAGCTCGGTCCGAAGGTGTCGATCGCTCGTCACGTCTCGACGCGATCGTTTCAAACACACTAAAAAAAAAAAGAAAAAAAAGCCCCCCGCCCCCGTAGCGGCTGAGAGATCGCGCGCGGGCGCATCATGGACGCGTCCGCGCCGCTTCTCACGAGGACGCGCCGCCGATCCGGCGCGGTCACGACCGCGCAGAAATGCATCGCCGCGATGTGCGCGCTCTCGTGCCTGATCGCGATCCTCGCGAGCTCCGGCGCGCTCGCGCCGCTCGCGGACGTTCGCCTCGGATCCGCGGGCGCGATCTTCTCGAAGTCGACGAGGAACGACGTCTACGACAATTCCCCCGCGACGCTCGGAAGCGCCGCTCCGGAGTACCGCCTCGGGTACGCCGCGGGCCGGAAGCATCACAAGCTCGGGAAGGCGCACGGCGACGTCGTCGCGCGATCGCTCTTGGGCGAGGACGCGACGTCGGACTCGAAGGCGATGTTTCTCGAGGGTTTCGAGAAAGGACTCGACGAGGTCATCGATCAACTCGTCGAGCACACGGGCACCTCCCCCGAGCAGTTGAAGGCGGAAGCCACCAAAAAAGTGGAGGAAATCGCCGCGAGCAACAAGGAGCTTCTCGCCGCGGAAGAGCGCCATCGCGCGAAGGAGGCGGCGATCCAGAAGGAGCGCGAAGAAGCCACCGCAGCCGCGAAAGCGGCGGAGGAGGCGAGACTCCAAGCGGAAGCGGATGCGAAAGCCGCCGCGGATGCGAAAGCGAAAGCCGAGCTCGAACACAAGAGAGAGAAACAAAGGCTCGCCGCCGAGGCGAAGGCTGCTAAGGATGCCGCCGACGCCGCCGCCGCGAAAGCGGAGGAGGAAGCCGCCGCCGCGAAAAAGGCGCTCGCGAAAGAGCTCGCGAGGCAAGCCGCGGAGAAGGCAGCCGCGAAGCGGGCCGCGGAAAAACTCGCCGAGGAATCCAAAGCGCGCGCCTTGGCTGAAGCGGCGGAGAAAGCCGCCGCGGAAGCGGAAGAAGCCGCGCGAACCGCGGCAGCGGAAGCTAAGGCTGACGCCGAAGCCGCCGCCGCCAAGGCGAGAGCGGAAGCGGAGGCGACTGCCGCCGCGGAAGAGAAGGCGCACGCTGAAGCTCTCGCCGCGAAAGAAGCGGAAGAGAAGGCTCACGCCGAAGTTGTCGCCGCGAAAGCCGAGGCGGATAAAATCATCGACGAGAAGGCTTCCAAGGACCAAGCCGCCAAGGAAGCCGAAGAGGCCGCCTCCGCCGCGAAAGCGGCGGAGGAGGCTGCCGCCAAGGAAACGTCCGCTTCCACGACCGACCCGTACGACTACGGCGACTACGGCGACTTCTTCGACAACTTCGAAGCCGAAATCCACGGTGACGATTACGCCGCGTTCGAATACGACGACGAATACGAAGAAGCCTACGCTGATATGCCCGAGGTGAGTGACGAGGAGCTGGCAGCCGCCAACGCCGCCGCGGAGCAAGCCACCGCGGCCGCGAAGGCCGCCGATGAAGCGATCGCGAAAGCGCACGCGGACGCGGAAACCGCGAAGGCGGCTGCTTTGAAAGCCGAGGAAGCCGCCGCCGCCGCGGACGACAAATCTAAGCCTGAATCCGTAAGGATCGCCAAGGAAGCCGACGAAACCGCCGCTACCGCCGCTGCCGCCGAGATCCAGGCTACCCAACAGGCGGAAGCGGGTCGTGTCGCGGCCGCGGAAGCGGTAGCGAAGGCGAAGCGCGAAGCCGCGGTCCAAGCCGCGGCGGCCGCCAAGAAGAAAGCCGAAGCCGACGCCGCCGCCAAGGCAGCCGCGGATAAAGCCGCCGCGGAAGCCGCGCGACTGGAAGAGGAAGCGCAGGCTGCCGAAGCCGCCGAGCAAGCCGCCGCCGAAGCCGCCGCGAAGGAAGCGAGAGAAGAAGCCGAGCGCCTCAAGCTCGAAGAAGCCCAGAAGCATGCCGAGGCGGAGAACGCGAAGAAGGAAGCCCAGCTCAAAATCGCAGAGGCAAAAAAAGCCGCCGCGCTCAAGGCTCTGGAAGACGCGAAGCTCGCCGCGGAAGCGGAAGCGCGCACGAAAGAGCTTGAGCTTGAGGCGCTCGCCAAGGAAGCTGCGGCGAAGGCGGAAGCGGAAGCCAAGCAAGCCGCCGCTGACAAGGCTGCCGCTGACGCGGCCGCCGCCGAAGCGGAAGCGAAGGCTGAAGCCGACAGACTCGCAAAGGAAGCCGAAGAGGCCGCCGCCGCCGCGAAGGCGGCGGAAGAGAAAGCCCACGCCGAAGTGCTCGCCGCGAAAGCGGAAGAAGAGGCTGCCCTCCGGAAAGCCCAGGCTCTCGCGAAGGAAGCCGCGGACCGGGCTGCGGCGATGGAACGCGAAGCCGCGCTCATCAAGCTGCAAAAAGCCAAAGCGGAAGCCGCGGAGAGGGAGCGCATCGCCGCGGAGGAGAAAGCCAAAGCGGAAGCGAAGGAAAAGGCCGCCGCCGACGCGAAAGCCGCCGCCGAAGCGAAAGCCGCCGCGAAAGCGAAAGCCGCGGCGAAAGCGGCTGCGGCTGCCAAGGCTGAGGCGGAGGCGCACGCCGCCGCTGTCGCCGCGAAAACGAAAGCGGATGAAGCCGCCGCGAAAGCGGAGCAGGAACAGGACGCGACCGCTAAAGTGGCTGCCAAAAAGGAAGCCGCGAGAGCGAAAGCCGAGTCTGAAGCCGCCATCGCCGCGGAAGCGAAAGCCGCCGCCGCCTCCGCCGCCGCGAAAGCGGAGAAGGAAAAGGCTGCCGCGGCGAGCGCGCACGCGGAGACGGTGTCCAAGCACCTCTCCAATGTCGCCGCGAAGAAAACCGCACTCGAGGCCGTGAACAAGGCGCTCGCCGAAGCGGAATCCGCGGCGAAAGCCGAGGCGGCCGCGATCCTCGAGAGCCAATCGAAGATCGCCGCCGCGGAGAAGGCGAAGGAGGAAGCGACCGAAGCCGCCGCCGCGGACGTCCGAGCGAAAGCGAAGGCCGAAAAGGCGGCCGCGGACGCCTCTATCGCGGCCGAAGCCGCCGCGAAAAAAGCCGAAACCGCCTCCGCGTTGGTCGCGAAGAAGAAAGCCGTGCTCAAGGAGGCGAAAGAAAAAGCGAAGAACGTCCTCGCGGCGATCGACGCCGGGACGACGCCTGAGCAGAAATTGTACGCCGACGCGACGCGGGACGCGAAGATCGCGACGACGCACGCGGAGAAGGAGTCCGCGGAAGCGAAGTCGAGCCTCACGAAGGCGATGAAGGCGAAGATCGAAGGCGACGACGCCGCCGCGGCCGCCGCGATCGCGGACGCGAAGATAGAAACCGCGCACGCGTCCAAGGCGTTCGTCGAAGCCGCCGCGGCGGAGACTCGCGCGGCGAAAGAGTTCACCGGCGCCGCGACGGACATCGACGAAGCGATCGACGTGTCGCACATCACCTCCGCGGAGAAAGCCGCGGCCGACGCGCTCGAGGCGATGAAAGCCGCGAACGCGAAGAAAGAAGAGGCCGAAGCGAAGGTGGCGACCGCGAAGGCGAACGCCGCGCGCGAAGCCGCGCTCAAGCTGGCGGCGGACGCGAAGGCGGCCGCCGCCGAAAAGGCGCGCGTCGAGGCCGTCGCGGACGCCGCGCACAAGGCTGAAGCCGCCGCGGAGGCTGCGGAGAAGCGCGCGCGAGAGCAAGCCGCCTCCGCGGAGGCGATCGCTGCGTCGGACGCGTCCGCGGAAGAAAAAGCGACCGCGGAGGCGATGGCCACCGCCGCGAAGAAGGCTGCCGCCGCCGCCGCGGAGAAGAAGGCGAAGGCGCACGCCGACGCCGACGCCGCGGACGCGGCTCACGCGAAGGCGACTGAAGATGCTGACAAAGCGAAACAAGTCGCGAAAGCCGCGGTCGCCACGGCGAAAGCGGCGAGAGCCGCGATCCCGGTCGTGCACCCGTACGTTCCCCCCGAGGATCCGGAAGGCAAGTATCCCGGGACGGAAGGCTGCCAGGCCGTCTGCGAGGGCGTCCACATCGATCAACACACGTGCCAGAGCAAGAGTTACTGCACGTGGATGGAGGGTTTGTGCTGGAGCGCCGTCGGAAAGGCGGCGTGCCCGGACGAAGAATCCGTTTCCGTTCCCGCGACTGAGCCTCCTGTTCACGACTCGATGATGGAGGACACGCACCACGACGACCATTACGGATACGACGTCGAGTACGGGGATCACTACGGGGATCACTACGGGGATCACTACAGCGGCAATGTAAGTCATCACTACGACTACGGATCCGACTGGGAAATCGACTACGGCGTTCACGACGCGATGACGATGGAGGACACTCACCCCGCCGCGATGGACTCCACGGTGGACTCCATGCCGGGCTCCACGGTGGACTCCATGCCGGGCTCCATGATGGACTCCATGCCGGGCTCCACGATGGACTCCATGCCGGGCTCCACGATGGACTCCGTGCCGGGATCCACGGTGGACTCCATGCCGGGCTCCACGGTGGACTCCATGCCGGGCTCCACGATGGACTCCATGCCGGGATCCACGGTGGACTCCATGCCGGGATCCACGGTGGACTGCGTTGTACCCGATTGGTGCTCGACGTACCCCCCGGAGATGCAAAAGTCAAAACCGGAGTGCACGTGCCCGGACGACTCGGACACCTCGATGCCGGGCTCCACGATGGACTCCATGCCGGGCTCCACGGCGGACACCATGCCGGGCTCCACGATGGACTCCATGCAGGGCTCCACGATGGACTCCATGCCGGGCTCCACGATGGACTCCATGCAGGGCTCCACGATGGACTCCATGCCGGGCTCCACGGTGGACTGCGTTGTACCCGATTGGTGCTCGACGTACCCCCCGGAGATGCAAAAGTCAAAACCGGAGTGCACGTGCCCGGACGACTCGGACACCTCGATGCCGGGCTCCACGATGGACTCGATGCCGGGCTCCACGGCGGACACCATGCCGGGCTCCACGATGGACTCCATGCAGGGCTCCACGATGGACTCCATGCCGGGCTCCACGATGGACTCCATGCAGGGCTCCACGGTGGACTGCGTTGTACCCGATTGGTGCTCGACGTACCCCCCGGAGATGCAAAAGTCAAAACCGGAGTGCACGTGCCCGGACGACTCGGACACCTCGATGCCGGGCTCCACGATGGACTCGATGCCGGGCTCCACGGCGGACACCATGCCGGGCTCCACGATGGACTCCATGCAGGGCTCCACGATGGACTCCATGCCGGGCTCCACGATGGACTCCATGCAGGGCTCCACGATGGACTCCATGCCGGGATCCACGGTGGACTGCGTTGTACCCGATTGGTGCTCGACGTACCCCCCGGAGATGCAAAAGTCAAAACCGGAGTGCACGTGCCCGGACGACTCGGACACCTCGATGCCGGGCTCCACGATGGACTCGATGCCGGGCTCCACGGCGGACACCATGCCGGGCTCCACGATGGACTCCATGCAGGGCTCCACGATGGACTCCATGCCGGGCTCCACGATGGACCACGGAGACACGATGAGCTCTGCGGACCACAGTCGACGTGCGGACAAACACCTCACGGTGCACCACCGCGTCGGATACCCGTCCTGCTACGTCCCGATGTCAAGCGGTGGCGACGACCGGTTCGATTGCGATGTCGGTATGATGTTTCCGAACTCAGAAGAAGGCACCGTCGATGTCTACCACGAACGGGGCGTCGACGCGGGCTACTGCTACTTCATCCGAGCGCGCGACGCGTACGAAGCGGATATCCCCTGCCCTCAGGGTTTCGACTCGCGCGCGGTGTCGCTCAACGATGCTACCGACGCGACCGACACCGCGGAAGCGGCGGATCCCGCCACCGCGGAAGCGGCGGAGCCTGCCACCGCGGAAGCGGCGGATCCCGCCACCGCGGAAGAGGCGGAGCCCGCCACCGCCGCGGCGGAGCCCGCCACCGCGGAAGCGGCGGAGCCCGCCACCGCCGCTTATGACCAAGCGGCGGAGCCCGCCACCGCCGCGGCGGAGCCCGCCACCGCCGCTTATGACCCAGCGGCGGAGCCCGCCACCGCCGCGGCGGAGCCCGCCACCGCCGCGGCGGAGCCCGCCACCGCCGCTTATGACCCAGCGGCGGTGGCGGAGCCCGCCACCGCCGCTTATGCTCAAGCGGCGGTGGCGGAGCCCGCCACCGCCGCGGCGGAGCCCGCCACCGCCGCGGCGGAGCCCGCCACCGCCGCGGCGGAGCCCGCCACCGCCGCGGCGGAGCCCGCCACCGCCGCGGCGGAGCCCGCCACCGCCGCTTATGCCCCAGCGGCGGTGGCGGAGCCCGCCACCGCCGCTTATGCCCAAGCGGCGGCGGCGGAGCCCGCCACCGCCGCGGCGGAGCCCGCCACCGCCGCGGCGGAGCCCGCCACCGCCGCGGCGGAGCCCGCCACCGCCGCGGCGGAGCCCGCCACCGCCGCTTATGACCCAGCGGCGGTGGCGGAGCCCGCCACCGCCGCTTATGACCAAGCGGCGGTGGCGGAGCCCGCCACCGCCGCGGCGGAGCCCGCCACCGCCGCGGCGGAGCCCGCCACCGCCGCGGCGGAGCCCGCGCCCGCCGCTTATGACCATTACTCGGGCTACGGCGATTACTCCGAACACGGCGGTGATGATGCATACTCCGGATACGGCGACTACGGGGACTCCGGGGGATACGACTTCGGGGATTACAGTTTCGGCTACGAGTAAACGACGCGCGGCGAAAACGCCAAGCCGCCGAAGAGGGCGCCGGCACTTCGCGCCGAGCGCCCTCGCCGAGGTCACGTCTCCGACCTCTGTTGATCTTTGAGTGAGTGACCGAAACCGTTCGATGTACATACTGTACTGCATGTTTTTTTAATTTTATCACGTCACACGAGCTCGTTCGTTCATCGCTCGCCCCCTCTGCAACCTCCCCGCCCTCTGCCTGCGCGTGCCAACTACAACTACAGGTAGCGAACCGAACCTTTCACATTCACCACCGCTTTTTATCGCCGTCGTCCGCGTCACCTCGAGCGCACTCGCGCGACGCGCGCGCGAGCGAGACCGCACGATGGCCGCGGCTCGGCGCGGCGCGTGCGTCTCCATCGCGCGCGCGCGACGACTCTTCTTCTCGTGCGCGGTCGCGCGGTCCACCGAGCGCGCCGCGTCCGAGGACGACGCCCGCGGTTCGCCGTCGTTCGCGATCCCGGACGGCGCGCCGTTCTTCCTCGGCAAGACCGACGCGAGCGGTCGCGGACTGTTCGCCTCGCGCGCCATCGCGCGCGGGGAGCTCATCCTCCGAGCGCCGCCGCTCGTGGCGCACCCGGCGCTCGACGCGATCGCGGACGTGTGCTACGCGTGCCTTCGGCGGATCCCGAGCGCGACCGCGCAGACCCGCGACGACGGAAGCGGACCGAAGAAGCCCGCGCCCGTCGCCGCGGAGGTCCCCGACGGCGCGCGCTTCTGCGGCGAACGATGCGCGACGGACGCGTCCGCGCGTTTCCACGCGTGGGAGCGCAGCGTCGGGGACGCGCTCGCGCCGCTGCGCCGACGCTGCGAAGACCACGGCGGTCTCAAGTTCCCGCTCCTCGCCGCGAGGCTCGCGTTCGCCGTCTTGTCATCCTCCGTCGCCGCGCGCGACGCCGACGCGTTGTGCCGCGTGAACTTCCCCCCGGGCGTCGCCCCGGAGGACTGGCTCGAGGAGCACGCGATGTTGAAAGTCGCGCTCTCGCGCGGGCTCGCGATCCGGCGGCTCGCGGACGCGCGCGGGGGGGGGACCGGCGGCGGCGGCGGCGGCGGCGGCGGCGACGCGCAGCTGGCGGCGGCGGCGAGCGACCGCGAACGCGAGGCGCGCGTCGTCGACGGCGCGCTCACGCCGGAGTGGTACGTCGGCGTCGTCGGGCGGATGCACCTGAACGCGTTCCGCGTGGAGATCCCCGCGATCGTGGACGGGGGCAGGGGCGGGGGTGGGGCGGGCGCCGGAGGGTGCGGGCACGAGCACGGTGGCGAGCGCGGTGGCGAGCGCGGCGGCGAGCGCGTTTCTTCCTCGAGCGCGTTCAGAGACGCGATGGAGGCGGCGCTGAGCTCCGTCGCGTCCGGTCGCGGCACCGGGTCCGCGCTGTACGGGTTACCGTCGATGCTGAACCACTCGTGCGACCCGAGCGTGGACGCGGCGTGGACGTACGGCGACGCGACGCTCGTGTTGACGGCGCGGAGGGACGTCGCCGCGGGGGAGGAGTTGCGCATCTCGTACATCGACGCCGACGCGTCGGCGTCGGCGCGGCGCGAGACGTTGAGACACGCGTACGGGTTCGAGTGCGGATGCGAGCGGTGCGTCGAAGAGGCGGGGGACGACGCGAACGCGAACGCGAACGCGAACGCGTCCGAGTCCGAGTCCTCGCGCGACTCGCAACCTCGTTAGCTAGCTAGTTGAGCGAATATCTTATTATATAGTCTCCGATCGATCGGTCACGTCTCGCCGCCGCGCGCGCCCTCCCCCCCCGCGGCGACGCCTCGCATCGCGCGCATCTGCGCCTCGCGCGCCTCCGCGCTGACGACCCCCCCCGCGTTCTTCGCCCGGAGCGTCTTCTCGAGCTCGTCTCGGTCCGGCTGCGCGTATAAGATGGCCGCGGGACCGAGCGTGAGCCACGCCAGCGCGTAGGACGCCTTGAACGCGTTCGTCGCCTTGGCGCGCCACGCGGCGTACGTCCCGAGCGCGCACGCGACGCCGGCGAGGAGGAGCGGCAGTTTCGCGTCCGAGGTGGACGCGGACGCGCGCGCGTCTTCTCGCGTCATCGCCGCGCTCGCGCGCCCTCGTGAGTGACGACGGACGCGCGGAGAGTTTCGCGTCGACGGCGATGAATGACGTCGTGCACGACGCGCGCACGTGGCGTGTAAAGCGTGGCCGGAAACAGAAGTACACGTACTGGAGATCGATGTCAACATCGTGGGCCGCATACGTCGCCGCGCGAGAGCGAGACCGCCGAGCGCTCGCACGTCGACGACGCGCGGGTCCCCGCGCGGGATCGCGGCGCCGCGCCGCGCGACGCGACGCGAAGGCGCGACGCGAGACGCGAGACGAGAAGAGAAGAGACGAGACGAGCGACGCGCGGCGATGAATCTCCCGAAGCTGATCGTGTTCGACTTCGACCTGACGATCCTGCGCATACACTCCTGGGCCGAGCGCG